CAGTAAAAACACTCTGAACCAAGAGCAGGGTGGGTCTTTTTTTGCTTTATGCCAGTTGGGCAGTGCTAACATCCCAGAAAGCATGGATCCATGATACCTTGGGGGAAGAAGGAGTGATCCTGCCCTCTTCTGTGATCCAGGACTGCATGCACGCAAATCATATTGTATAATGTTATTTAAATCTTAGTCGGATGGTGAATTTGGAAACTGAAGGACAAATATTTATAGCACAAATATTTAACATCTTCAAATATTGCACATTAAGCAAAAATAAAACAAAGCAAAACGTCCCAAAGAATACCTGTGGTATGTAACATAAATCAACTGTTTGCACCTGTGTGTAAAAAGTACCTGGCACTTATGTGATAAATCATCACACCTGACACACCTATGATAGTGTCTCATTGTTTTCTTCTCTCTCTGTCCCTAAGTGAGTTTGCCCAATAAAGAACATTGACACCAATTTCTGTTTAATACTGAATTCAGCTTTTCTAGAGAATTTACATTGTAATTTTAAAGTGTCATATCTTACCACTCTGCTTGATTAGAGTGAGAGCAAACAGCATTCCCAGGCCTCTAATGGGGCCTAATACTTGTTTCAAGATCTAGAAGATCTTGTGATGAGACTTTTTGAATTTGTGACAACTTTAAGGTTGGAAAAGATTTGTGGATAATTTTTTGACATTTTGAACTTGGCACATTTGGACTTGGGGAATGATTTATGGCAGTGTTGAGTGCCCCAGCTCCGTAGTACCTCTGAAAATTAGTCTTCTGGTAATTAAGGTCCAACTCTGTAATAACGTCTGTGATCAGACTCCTGTACTTACATGGAACACCCTTGAAATGAGAGAACCCCTTGTGCTGGGCTCAGGGTTTTAGACAGGCAGATGGATACAAGCAATAATCCTAATAAATATTGAAAATGCTCTCTGAGAATATTAATTAAAATATTTTTCCTGTGTTTCTGTAACAGGTAGAATCTATGGAGGCCTGGTTGAAAAGTTTTAGCATTAATCATTTAGAGTGATTTCTGTTATTCATCTTTGTCGTCATTTTCAAATAAAGTTTTCTTTCCAGAACTTAAGTTGATGAAAACTTTTATACTAAAAGACGTGACATATTCCATGTTTGCACACACAGTCTTAATGTTGTTCATGGGTTTTCTCTAACAACATTGCGAACTGCTTGTTGTTGTGTTTTTTACCACGGGGCATTGAGAGCCACTGCATGTATTTAAGGAGTCAGAATATGTACCATTCCAGATGCAGAAGAAAAAAGTGGTACAAGCTTAAACTATGTACAGTGGTTTCTTTTGTGAGACAGAACCTGGAAAGAGCAGACTTTAGATAGCCATACCATTTATGATAAACCAAGTAAAACACAGCTTATTTTGGCTGGGGTAACTATAAAGTGGAAAAGAACGAAGAGGAAAGGGTGTTGGAAAACTGCTCCAGAACACAACCTGATCAAGTGAGAAGTGGGAGGATATTACTAGGGTGGGGTTAAGTGTACCTACTCAGCCAGTGAAGATGCAGTCTCCTCCTAGTGTTAAGACATAGGGCACTGACAGAAGTGACATTTTGTCATGTGATCAGTCTCCTGAAGTGCTTTATAGCTGTGCCCTGACAGAAGAGCATGGCTGCAGAGTGCTTTAAAAATGGCCAGTTGGGTGGCAGTCTGAACCCTCATTACATGAAGGTTCAGATGAAGGTGTTCCAATATGGAGCACCTTCATTAACTTCTGTCAGTCCCTGCCGGAGACTACCTGCTGGCTTGTGAGGACTGTTGTAACTCATGGTGCCTCCTGTAAAGTACTGTGAGTTACAGCAGGAAGCTGCACGTCTGTCAGTGCCCACTGTGCCCATGTACACTTAGAAAATAAGGTTTAATTTGCAAAAGGTATCTTGTGTCTTGATCTCACTTTTTTTAATGGAGTGCTTTCTCATTTACTTTCAAAATGACTTTCAGGAAAGCTAATATTTTTGTGTGCATGGTTTGTTTGTTTGTTTGTTTGTTTGTTTTTCAACTACTTGCTTGCTGACCTTCCTTTTCAGGAACTATGAAGTATCTTTAAATCGTTAGCCCTTTAAATTAGATTTATAACTTTAATGGCATATTGTAACCATGGTGCTGTAAGCTACTGTTAATTCAGGGCAACAAGTTTAAATGAAAATTAGGATTCCACGATTAATGTTTGCTATCTAAATAGGGTTTGTAACTTTGTATGTAGAAGTTGACTTGAAGTATTGAAAGTAGAATGACGTATTGGGCTAGAGCTAGTTTTGCTGGTCTAGTCCAGTGCAAAGGGGCACAGCACAGGTAGGTCTGCTTCCTGAAAAGCAGCTCAGGGAAGGAATTGTGTCTCGGGACATAGCTGTGTAAAGCCAAATGAAAGTGTCATTGCAACATGGGTAGCAGTACACACGTTCACTTTAATTTGGCAGTGAAAATGAATGGGGCACAGGCTTCAACCTCGGTTGCTAACCTGACTACAACCCCTTTTGGGAATCTGGGTATGTTTGCTGCTTGCTAGCCTTTGCTGAAGTGTGTGCCACCATTTCTTCCCTGCCATTTCTAAGCCTTATAGCTAGAATAAGGGGGAGAATAGCCCCCAGTGCCCAACTGTTGCGAGGGGAGGGAGGCAGCCCTGTGCAGGTCAGTGTACAGAAACAACAGGACCTGGGTCTTTGCCTCCCCAGTACAGGTAAGAATAACAACTGTCCTTCCCTCTCCCTGCCCTTCAGCATTCCTAAACCTCACAGACACACCTCAGGGTGCAGGGAGGTTTTTCCAGGGCAAAGCTTATTATGTCTTTGGCTTGGCCCAGCCCAGCCTCGCAGTCTCCAACTGGGATCTGCATACCCACAGCAAGCTCTGACTTGAGAGAACCACAGTAAGACATTGCCCCTTGCCCCCAGAAATACAGCAGGGTAGCCCTCATGCAGTCCCATGTGCCCTGGTGTTGCTCTGTACCTAAGCTGTCTGTCCCAGGTGCCCACAGTTATGCCCAAACCTGGAGTTCCAGCTTTGGTGCCCCTAGGATCCTATGGGTAGCATTGCCTTAGAGCCAGCTTGTGGGGACATCTCATCCCACTGCCCCATGGAATCACCCAGGCCCTGAGGGTGCAACTGGGGGCATCTCCATTAAGAGAGTTCCTACTCAAGGGTCTGCCTAGTTGGGGTGTTGGGGGGGGGGGGGCGGCTGGGTGGTCTTGGGG